TCAAAATACAGTATAGTAACTTAAAGACAGAAAATTATATAAAAGTGTCTATTAAAAAATAAAATAAAAAGTAAAAGTGTCTATTATAACAAAGATAGAGTATAAAGGTCCAGAAGAGACATGAAACAGTGCTGTGAGAGTTAACAGTGAGCAGTGATGGAAAAAAGACACATTTCATTGCTATATATCTGTTATAATTTAAGACTTAGAGATTTAGAAATACTTTTTATATATTTATATTTTATATATAGTCTTTCTTTCTTCCACAAACCTTATAAAATGCTCACGTGTTCCCATATGATTTTACAAAAAATAAAGAAATCAGTTCCTCTGCTAAGAACGCTCCTAAGTTTGAGAATAACTTAGAGTAGGTATATAAAACGCTCCATGGAAGCACAGAAGAGACAAATGGGACCATACTGGAGGTGTGCTTGCCAGACAGGTAAAATGCTCGTGAGTGGAGAAGGAGAGTAAACCATTTCAACCCGAAGGAGCAGGGTCCACAGGGCAGGAAGGCATAAAGGAACGCAAAGACTCAGTCACAGACCCTAAGGCCATCCACCATGGAACATGAACCATATACCGAGCATGGCACATACTTTGTGTCCTTTAATTGTCTAATAGCAATGAGAAAGTTTTCTGCTGTCCTCACCTTCGATCCAAGAAAACTGAAACTCCCAAAGGTAGAGTAACTTATATAAGGTCCCAAGGAACAGTTCATGCAGCTGGATGCACATTCAGTTCCCTGTGACAACCAACTTCATGCTCCTAATGATGGTGCCTATGTTCAGAGCTGCCCTAGATCGGCTGGCGCACCCAGAACAGGACCAATAGAGAAAACAATCACTGAGCCTCCAACAGGAGATCTCTAAATAAAATCTTAAAAAAAAAAAAAAAAGACACTTGGGTGGCTCAATGGTTGAGCATCTGCCTTTGGCTCAGGGCATGATCTTGGTTAGGGGATGGAGTCCCACATTGGGCTCCCTGTGGGGAGCCTGCTTCTCCCTCTGCCTGTGTCTCTGTCTCTCTCTCTGTGTCTCTCGTGAATAAATAAAATCTTAAAAAAAAAAAAAAAAGGAGATCTCCGAAAGCCTACAAGTGGTGATATGTGCCAGATGAGAAAATGTCACCTCTTCTTCTCTGGGCAGGAACAATAGTAACAGTGGTCAAGTGCACACAATGATCACGTAAGCAGCATTCGTGGAATACCAGGTATTTTACTGACCAGGGCAGGAGGGGGATGAGGTACCAGAGGCTGGCAGGGCACAGAATTTGAGGAGGTCCTGCCCTGAGCGCTGCACCTGTAAGAGGATGTTGAGCCAGAAGCCCTAAAGGTGGGAACGCTACAATAGACAGCAAGTGCTCCCACACCCTATCGTGCGATGTTCTTAACCCAGAGCTAAGAGTGGGTGCGAGCTGCTCTGTCCCCGTGGGGTCACCCACCACCACATCACCCACAGGGGCCGACCCAGGGGAGTTCTGTGCAACGTCTGTCTCCTCTGCACTGCTGCCTCTGAGGCCACTGGCAGAGGGCCTGCCGTGGCACTTGGCGTGTGCGCCCTGGAGGTTAGGGGATGCACACGGGTGAGATGGTCCCAGGCTGCCCAACAAAGAGAAATGCAGGGCTGTGATGAGGGAAACGGCCCCTCCATGGATAAGCATCAGGAACGAGCCCTCCCTGGAGAAGCCGTTGGCAGGAGTGGTGTTTCACCCGAAGGCCTGCTCTTGCGATGAAATGTGGACATGACTGACAGCCAGAGAAGGCCCTCCCTCAATGGACAGTACTGCAGCTGGAAGTTTCCTGCAGAGGGTGTCTAGGGAATGTGCAAATGTCTCATGAGAACCCGTTTTGACACCCTGCATGCCCCTGACATGGCACTGCACATTGCTCAGCGATGGGATGGGCCAGGTTATAACAGGGCCAGCCACACCGCCCCTTGGCCTTAACCATCTTTCCCCTTGGGTACAACTCAGAGATTAGATACCACGGAACCTGAACGTTTGTGTGCCTCCAAACTTCATGCGGAAATCCTAACCCCGGTGTGATGCCCATGTGATGCTCTCAGGGGGTGAGGTCCTTGGAAGTGAGGAGGTTATCTGACTCAAAACCAGCCCCCCAAGAATGGGATTAGTGCTCTCATAATAAAGACCCCAGATAGCTCCCTCATCCCTCCGACACGTGAGGACGCAGAAGACAACGTCTGCGAATGAGGAAGCCAGCTCTCATCAGACACCCAGCCTGCTAGTACCTTGATCTCAGATTCACTGTCCTCGGTAACTGAGAAACTAACGTTTGTGGTTTAAGCCACGCAGATGATGATATTTTTGTTCTAACAGCCTTGAATGAACTAAGACAAATAGCTAGTAGGTAAGAAGAAGAAATCTGAGAAAGAGAAAACAGACCATCTGTACATCTTGGGGATTTGATGAATGAAGCTTTAGGTTCGCCCCAAGTTCTGGACTTCCATATGACATTATGCTAGAATGTCCATTTTTAACTACTAAAATGGGATTTTTCTCATGATTGAAATGAACCAAAGAAATTCTCCAACCTACCTAACTCTAACCCAAGTATAGAGAAAATAGAAAAACTAGACCAAGAGGAATTTCAAGGGCCCTAGGAGAAGGAACAGAGTTGCCCTATGATTGCTTTCTGTTGAATCCCATTTTTAAAAAACTTACTGGCTGCACTTTTACAATCCACCTTAATCCTGATGGAAACTGAGGTAGGTAGTTAGTATTGTCTCAGTTTGCCTGGCAAGGCTCTGCAGCTGACGCCCTGGGGCTGGCCACAGGAGACAAGACACGCACCTAAACTTGACACCCATACTCAGCCACAGGGATTAATGTGCGAGTAAGTGGCCCAAAGTAGCCAAAATCTGCATTCATCTCCGGGTTTGTTTTTTGTTTCCTTGGCTGCTCCTAATAGGCAAAAACCGCTTCTGGTGTCAGGGCTGATGGGTTGCTAGTCCCAGGATGGCAGTGCCCTGTCCCCCTCCTCACGGGGAAAGTCCAGCTGCAGTCGGAGAGAAGGAAGCCAACGCACAAAACACAGAAAATGAACCGAAAACCCTGGGGAGGATCCGGGGCTTGGGTCCTGTCCATCCTGACACATTTTTCTTTCCTGTGTTCCAGTTCCAGGAGCCAAAAAATGCACCTTTCCTGAGGAAACCAGTTAGGTCTGTCTTCCTGTCCATTTCATCCAAAAAATGTGACCTATTACAATTATGTATATATTTAAACTGATGGTGAGGTTGGAAAGAGAAGGGGTTTTACTCAAGGGCATAAGTGTGCTAAGTGGCAAAGAGTGAGCTCGATTCTGGATCTTTCTGACTGCAGCTCTTCGAGCTTAACAAATAACTCTACCTTGTGAAGTTTCAAGGGCACGACTCACTTTATGTGAGAGTTTTAAAAAAGTAGTTGAGCTTCCTCTTTTCCTCCTTCTTCCCCCCTTTCTGCTCCTTCCTTTCTCATCTGCTTCAGAGCAGTTCTGTCCTAACACCTGTGTCCACCTTGGGCAGAGCAAGGTGGGCATCTGGATGAAGGGAGGTGACTCGGGGCAGAAGTACTGGAAGTCGGTTGGCAGGGAGGGGACAGGTCCCCAGGAGGCGTTCTGCTGGAGCAGCGGGGTGGGCCCAGGTGACCCTCCCAGCAGGGTCGGGGGAGGGACAGGTCCCCAGAAGGTGGAAGGTGTTGTACTGGAGCAAGGGGGTGGGCTCAGGTGTCCCTCCCAGCAGCGTGGGGGGGGGGGGGGGGGGGGAGACAGGTGCCTGGAAGGCGTCCTGCTGGAGCGGGGATGGGGGGGATGATGAGCGGGGGGGGGGGTGGGGGGTGTGGGGGGTGACGGGGGGTGGGGGCCCAGGTGTCCCTCCCATTTCTCTTGTTTCCACTCTTGCCTTACTTGGTGTTTTCTCCTCTTTCTCCAGGTCTTCCCCACTTTTAATTTACATTTTGCTTTTCCTCCCCCTTCAAAACCTTGAAAAATTGCAGAAATTGCAAAACACCATCATCTGAAAGGACTGGTCTTCCAGTCACTGGGAGGGTAGGGAACCAGAGATTCCCCAGTGAGAGGCATGAAAGTCAGGACAATCCCCAGCCTCTTCCCCTGCAGTTTTCCAAGCAGATGGAGGAAGAGGGCAAACACTTCCAGGTGGGCCAGACCATGGACACACAGACACACAGACACAGACACCCCTCCTCGCCTCACCCCACGGGGCGTTGCCTTGATGCTCCACAGTGGCTCCTCGACGTGCACCCGCTTCACCAAGCCTCTCACCTTCGACTGACCCTCGGGGACAGGCGCCCGGGTCAGTGTGGGAGGGCGGAGATGAGGGGACCAGAGGCCCCCCGCGGCGGGGGGGGGGGGCACGGGCATGGGGGCATCCACACGGGACCCAGAGCTAGAGCTCTACTTTGTAATCCAGAGATTCTGGAAGGTGCGAAGGGAAGGGATTTTTTGTGTATGTTGTCTAATGCGCCCTTTAGCATCAGATACCCAGGCCGCGTAGACCCAAAATGAGAATTAGGGAATGAATAAATGAACAGATTAGGGAAAGCATCTGAAGGCAGTTAAGAATATAAATGTGAGGAGTGTCATTAATTCTAGCATAGCTGATACTCCCTGTATTTAAACAAGGGGGAACACATTTTTGTTTTATTAAGCCACACAGTTGTTAGGGATTTGGTTTTCTTGATGAGAGGGCTCTCCTGTTTCACGAATGCTAATCCCCAGTATCCAAAATGCCGCTCTAAAGAAATGCTTAGCACCACAACAATAAGACAAAAGCCCAAGTAAAGTAAACATTCCAGAGGCCTTCGGAGGTTAAAGAGGAATCTGGAAATAATTATCCTATTGCTAAAAAATAAATAACATATGGAAAATATAAGCAGTGGGGGAGGACTTCCTCTTCTTAAGGATTTTATTCTTAAAAAAATTTTTTTTGACAAAATAATATTTGAATGATATAGTATAAAAAGTAAAACAATAATATGTTTGGTATTAATATTATTGTTTTCATGATCCACCTTTTACTGTTGAAAAGTATTCCCTGTATAACATATGATAGTACTTAATAATATTTTTTGTCCCACTTTTTACTACGGAAAATTGTTCACACCGTTAGATAAAATGATTTAATTTACAGAGGAAGAGAGATTCACAAATGGATAACCTACCACCCAGTCAAGGAAACAAAGAAACTGGATTTATTCTGTAGCCTCATTTTCTGCTTTCGCTCATTTTTATTATTTTCTGAGCTCCGTGAAGAAGGCGTCTAGACTATTACCACTTCCTCCCCTCGTCCTCCCCCCACAGCAGTCTGGTTTCTGTCCACACCACCCCACGAAACCGCGTTCACCCAGAAATTGTTCTGGTTGTTAAACCAGGGGGAAAATTCTTAGTTCCTAATCTGCTTGACCACTAGGAGCATTTAGCACCACTGACCGCTTCTGGAAACTCAACAACCTCGGTGCTCCCCACAACACTTTCTTTCCAAATTTCTCCCCAATCATTTGGCCCTCTTGTCCCTTTTTCTTTCTTTCCTCCTCCGTTATCTTTCCCGGTTGTCACCGTTGGGATGTTTTCATCCAGTCGCCCCGGGAAGGGCCCTGGGCATCACACTGGCCTGCTGACTCCCCTTCTGCCCTCATATTTAACTAATTCCAAATATATCTCCACTCTGTCCTCACATCCTCTCCCACTGCTGCTATCTTGGTCAACACTCTCATTATCTCTCAGCGAGTGATTGTAAGAATTTCCTAATTAGTCTCCCGCTTTCCAGCCAGACCCCCCACGCTCCAGCCTGCTTAACTGCCACCAGCACGATGCTGCCCTATGGCTCCCCATTAACGACCTTTCTATGTTTCCCATTAATTGCAGGACAGAGGCCCAGCTCCTGGGAACAGCTGACAGACCAGGTCACCCTTTCTCAAATCCTTCCCTCTCCCCCGTGAAAGGTCGTTGTTATCCAGGTGAATGGGTCCACCTGACTGTCCTCTGCGGAGACCGAAGCCCTCCCTGTGTCCTCCTCTTTCTGATTGTCTGCACCTCCGTTTCCCATTCAGTCCAGTTGATTCTACTCTCAAGTCTAAGTCGTGAAGGATCTGCTGACCCGTGTCTACACTGTGGGTGCCCTAAGTCAGAAAGGCACCGGCTCGACCAGTTCCATACTCTGTCCCCTGTGCCTGCATCATGCCATGTGACTTTCTCAATCTACTTACCCCTGATTTCCTGTATACGGGATTCGATTTCTAACCTCAAACCCTGACCACGTTACACCTCTGTTCGAAATCCTTCAACAGCTCCCCAGGGTCACCACATGGGACCGAAGCTCCTTCGCACGACCTTCCCAAGCACCCTCATGAGTTCCCTGCCTTCCTCGATGACTTCTGCCACCAAGACGGGAAGGCTGACACCTCTGCTCCTCTGCTTTGGGCTTTAGAAAGTTAATGGTTTCAAAATCGGCCTGTGACTATCATTTTTGCTTGTGTAAAATGAATGTGTAATAACATGACACTTAAAAAAAAAAAAAGAAAGAAAAGCGAGACCAGACAAGAAGAGGGCTTTATATTTTGACTTACATGAAGAAAAGCAAGCAAACGGCTCGCAGCCCTTTCTGCATAGCTACTCAACACAGGAAAAAATCAAACCATTAAGGCCTCGTAAAAGTAGCTTAATAATTTAAGAGCTATCGGTATATTACTTAAGAAAAAAAATCTACTTCTCCGCAACATGATTCAGGTTAAAGAGGACAATGGTCAGGGTTTTTCTTTTTTCTTTTTTTCCCTCAGTTAATTGTAAATTATTCCCCTAGAATGAAAAATCTAAATTTGTACATAGTTTTTTTGGGGTTTGGGGTGGGTTTTTTTTTTTTTTTTTGGTTTTGTTTTGTTTTTGCACTAAGAACCCTTGAATTTTAACAGTTAAATTCTTTCCTCTTTTGCATTACCCTGTCTTCACTAAACATCATTTGAAACAAATTGATATTTTTGAATCTTGGAAATACTCCAGGGACAACATTACCAGCAATGAAATTTCTTCCAAAAAATCCAGAGAATGCATGAGAGCCTAATCTGGGCTCGGTTAATTATATGTTTGAAAAACACTCTGCTGGGTGTTTTTTCCCTCATGTACTTATTTTTAACACAAACATATACACTCTGCTGACTGCAGTGCAACCATGGTCTTACCCTCCACACGTCATGAGAGTTTACCTCCTGCATTTATTCATTCGGTATCGAACACGTGTTTCCTGAACACCTGCAGGAGACGGGCCGGATTCCTACCTTCATGGAGCTTACATTCTAATACACGGCATTTATTCTCCTATGTTCTGGGCATTCATTGTGTTAAATGTTCTACTTACATCACCTCCTTTAAACCTCCAAGCTCACCATAAGGAAGTGACTATTTATCATGATTGCCTTTATCGTTGTTATTATTATTGTTCAGGCGAGAAGGGATGAGCCACTGACTGGAGTCTCCAGGGAGGCACTGGTGTGTCTGGGTCAAAACTCAGAAATAGTCTTCCCTGCAAGTTCGTGTTGGCCACATACACCGCATTGGCCAATGAACTGCAAGAAGTCTTCAGGTGATGTTTCTGAAAAAAAAAAAAAAAAAAAAAGGCTGCTTAAGTTGTGCATGCCTCAGTTGGCAGATGTCCTCCAGTCCTCTGGGCTTCGTGTTCCTTCTGCTGAGACTAGACAAAGGCCTGATGTCTGGGGCTCTCAGGGGCCATGAAGAAAGACTAAAGGAACGGTAGCGGGGTGACAACGTCAGAGTGCCCACCTCTTTTCAAGCGCATACCAGGTCATGTCTCCCCCTGCTGCAGTCACAGGGCCCTGGGAGAAGTCCGGTCTCGTAGCTTACAAAGCCCCACACAAATTGCCTGTGGCCTCCTGCCTGCCTCTGGGCTCATCTCAAGCTGAGCACACAGAACCTTCTTTCCTCTCCAGAATATGCCAGAAGAGCCCCAGAACATGGGCTCTCCAGGGCCTTCCCACCACCTGCTCCTCAGGACACTCCAGGTCTTCTGCTTCTCTGCCTGACTGACCCTTCTTGTCAGGCAGATCTTAGCTCCTTGTCACCACTTCAGACAGGTCCCCTAACCACCATCTCTCAAGCAGCTGCCAGTAATTCACTTTCACATCCTAGCTTAAGCTTTTGTGCAGGACTGATGACTATCCTATTTTTTTCTTGTTGATTTTTTCGCTGACATGTGTGTCGTCTGTAACGCCCACTCTCCCTCCACCAAAATATGAACTTTTGTTTCTACTAAACACCTCTGGCACCCAAATAGCGCCTGGCACACATAGTCAAACCCAACAAATAGTTGTCAGATGTATGAACACTATAACAAACTTCCTCCTAAGAGATATAAAACATTGCAATCTGAAACCTCTAAGTTTATCTCATGCAGGTTATATAAATCATACTATTAAAAATCAGTGTATTTCACTATATGAACTACTACACTATTATTCCGCATTTTCATTTCTTCAATTATCCTTCATTCTGATGACATCAATGTCAGAATAACAAAAAGAATTCAGAGCTAGACCAAGAGTAATAAGACGTCTCAAAATGACAAATGCATGTCAGACACATGGAATTATCCATTTTAACGGGTCTTTTACAGAACTTATTATGGGAGGAATCTCTATATTCTCATTTAATCTATATGTAGTTCCCAAATGATACTGTAACATTTGGGTAACTGGGGAAAATATAGGTTAAAACTTTTCTTCTAAACGTCTCCATTATGTTTGGGTTGAGTGGAGGATGTACAGGAAGTGTAAGTCTACTGGGAAGCTCTTGTAGACACAGGAGTCTGAATTGTCCACATTATTTTGTTTTTTTTTGTTTTTTTTTTTGTTTTTTTTTTGTTGTTGTTTTGAGAGAAGCAGAGAAAGAAGCAGAGAGAGAAGCAGGCTCCATGCAGGGAGCCTGATGCGGGACTCGATCCCGAGACCCCAGGATTACACTCTGGGCCGAAGGCAGACGCTCAACTGCTGAGCCCCCCAGGCGTCCCCTATTCTTTTCAATACAGCGAAGTGACATAGCAAAGTGGTTAGGAGCCTAGGTTATAGGTCCACACTGTCTGGATTTGAACTCAGGTCCTGCCACTTACTAGCTCTATGGCCCTAAATGTATTACATAACCTCCCTGTGCTAATTTCTCCATTTGTGAAATGGATCAAAATAATATTTATCTCAAAAACAATAATAAGGGACTCCTGGGTGACTCAGTGGTTGAGTGTCTGACTTCAGCTCAGGTCATGATCCCAGGGTTTCTTGATTGGAACAGGGAGCCTGCTTCTCCCTCTGCCTATGTCTCTGCCTCTCTCTGTGTTGCTCATAACTAAATAAAATCTTTAAAAAATAATAAAAATACCTATCCTAGGGTGTGGGATTAAAAGAAGTAATTCGGTAATTTGTGGACTGTTTGTAGGTCTCCCAAATGTGAATGAAGCCCTAGCCCTCAATATGACACTATTTGAAGATGGGCCTTTAGGAGGTAATCAGAGTTAGATTAGGTAATGAGGTAGGACCCTCATGATGGTATTAGTGGCTTATAAGAAGTGGAAGAGCTCTCTTTAAAGGAGTCATTTTAGAGACAAAGAATCAAACTAAATGGAGGCATATAGGTTGGGGATATAGTGGAGCTGGCGGTGCAGATTCACTAAAGAAAATGAAACTTAACCTTATCTAAAGTTAGTTGCAGGAACTGAGAGCTCTTCTCATAAGTCAGCAGAGAATGCCAGCCAATCCCCAAATGCCAAGTCTGCTCTCGCCATCTCTGAGCTTCCTCGTTCCCCACAAGGAAGAAGACCAGTAGGCAACCAGTAACCTCCATATTTACCCCATAAAAACTCTTTGGTCTGTGAGCAACTCAGAACTCTCTGCTCCTGTAGAACTGAGTTTCCCATCTTATGGATCAAAACATTTGCAATAAACTCATCTTTCTCCTTTTTTTCTTGGTGGATTGAATTTGGTTTTTGACAGAGAGAAGATGTTTTATCCAAAGTAATGACAGCATAATTTTATGTGAATCAGTGACTGGTATTTTATTATTTATTTCATGATTGTGTTTTTTTAAAAGGTTGAAATGTGTCAAAAGTGGGACAAATGAAAACCCTGACTCCCTCCATCACATCAATTGATTGTATACCTAAGCTATTTACTTTTTACTTTCCTTGATTTAGTTTTCATTTATCCTTACAAAAAGCTTACATTTTCTCCTGATCTAACAACAATAACAAAATGCCTTCACAATAGCTCAATACTTTGTTGGCCATATGGAATAAATCGATATTGTAGAATTTAGATCCTACTGGCATTCTTTCAATTATAGCTTACTTTTCTCATTAATTGTACTTACTAATGTCTTCCAAATCCTTAACCCTTAAAAACATAAAATCTGACCAACCAAAATTATTAGCGCTATTCTCTCATCTAACTTTTTTCTTATTATACCACAACCATCTGTCTATAGCATCTTTGTCTGATAGAAATATGTGAGCCACAAACATGAGCCACATATGCAATTTTAGATTTCCTAACAGTAAAAAAGAATAGATGAAGTTAATCTGAATAGTATATTTTATTTAACTCCGTATAATCAAAATATTATCATTTCCCTATATAACAAAATTACTAATTCTACATTCTTTGCTTCACACTAAATCTTTAAAATCTGGTACTTATTTCACACTTACATTGTAAGAGGCCTAAACACATTTCAAGTGCTCAGGAGCCACGTGTGGCCAGTGGCTGCTGTACTGGACAGCACAAGTCTGTCTTGCACTTTCAACTGTCACAGGAAAAAAGCACAAAAAGAAAATAGTACCACAGCACCCAGCATGGCTGTATTAGAAAGTGGCAAGGCCTCTAGCATGAACCATCCACACAGAGCCCCTGTGCTGCCAAACTATGAAGCACCAAGTAGTATTCCACGAATTCTAAAATAGGCTGTATTCTGTGGGTGGTGTCATCTGCAGCACAATTCCAGACAGGACTCCATGCACAGGCCCAACTTCTAGCCAATTTTTCTGAGCCAAAATTCAGAGTAGACAGAAGTATCTCTGGAAGTAGTAAAAGTTGTAAGACAGTTACATCCCTCCCAAATTTCTCACTTTTGTCTTTAGCATAGCCTAGTTCAAAGTTTGGGTCATTAGCAGGTTGTCTTCCACTCAAGAGCACCTCTGTAGGGATAGAACCTAATTATTTTATTATTATTAGTCTCTAACCATAGAAGATTCACGGTTTCTTGTTCATAATGTACCGCAGTAACTACTGCCTCACTTGGTCACCAACTACCATGTTCCACGGGGGCCCATGTAATCGGAGGCTCAGCTGTCGGCTATCAATGCACCTGTCATCTGATCCATCCATGTGTCAGTCATGAAGGCTCTATAACCAGTTCAAGTTGAGGTGAATTTGCAAATTATTATCCTTTTCAAAAAATACCAGACTTTGCTTCTTTGAGGTAAATACCTGACACTATCTGGTTCCATAGTTTTTTATTTGTTTGTTGTAAGATTTTATGTATTTATTTGACAGAGAGAGACAGTGAGAGAGAGCGCACATGCACAAGCTGGGGGAGGGGCAACGGGAAAGGGAGGAGCATGCTCCCCGCTGAGGGGGAAGCCCCTGATGCAGGACTTGATCCTAGGACACTGAGATCATGACCTGAGCCAAAGGCAGACGCTGAACTGACTGAGCCACCCAGGAGCCCCTGATTCAATAATTTTTACACATAAAATACTTCCTGAACCAAACTTCCTATTAAGAAAATGAAAAGCAACTAGAAATGCTTATACACAACAGTTTCTACAAACCACATTAGTTTCAAAGAAACTCTTATGATTCCCATTTTAAAGAATGTTTTTTCTCCTGTGCAGAGAAGAATGCCAAGTCCTTTGCAATGCCAAGTCCTCAGCCCCCACTGTGTGTCCTGAGGGAAGGAACACAAGGAAATGAATTTGCACTTTTAGTGTTCAGAATAATTCACATGAAAGTCTTATGTCTTTATGTTAAATTACACTTATCCAAACTCATAATGAGTCATCTGTATGGAACATAATTAAGGAGTGTCCCATATAATCCAACACAAATCAGTGCACGTGCATGAACTGAGCACCTCCATGTGAGAGGCAACATCAGGTCTTGAAGACTCACAGCAGTTGAGGATGGACATTGTTCAACGTCCCTGATGCCCTGAAGAACAGCCCTTTGTGTTCAGACACACTCTGCCTCTGCCCTTAGCAGGCTATGAACACACGTCTACTGAAATCATTCTTCAATTCACTCACACACAGTTTTGCTATTTTTGCTGCGTTCCTCTGCACAAGAAAATAAAAGAAGGCTATGTCGAAATATCCTGTACGATAGGTTAAGGTGTAAAAATGAGGAGAAAAGACTATAAAACCAGAGTTCAACTCTGTAAGGCAATACAACCAAAATAGTGCAAGATAAAATACCCCTAGGTTTGGAATAAATGCTAACTCTCTCTACATAATTATATTTTTTGCAAGTCTAGGCATGCATGTAGGTGTCTTGCAATTTAAAGTGATGATGTAAAATGTAGCAGAATCCGATA